CAACAGAACCCCGGCCGCCCGCCGCCAAAGCGCGAGCTTGGTTCTGAAGGCACAGATTCGCGCCAAGCCGAACAAGAGAGAGGAGGTTGGAAGCGGCCGCCAGAGCCGTATTTTTATGAAAGCTGCTTGATTTTCTTAAACGACTCAAGCTTCACAATCGACTTGTAGCTTTTTATCATAGAAAATTTAAGCCAAAGGAAATAAGGTAAATAATGTACATGTGTCCATAACTCACCGTGCACAATTACTGCCTGGGGGCGGTGTTACGCCCTTTGTCTGCCAACCGATTTCTGGCCTCCCCTGTTACCCGAAAGCACAGCCCAGATACACTGTATCATTTTATCCTCCTGCGTTTCACCGTGCGCGTCTCAAAAACACGAGGACTTACCTTGTTGGACAGAAAAGAACAGGGCTACTGTATTACACGGAAAAAAAAAAAAGACCCCCAAACAAAAACAGTACCTTCTCAACAGCACTAGGTATTCTATGAATCCTATTAATAATCTCAATTATCCTATGAGTGTGTAAATGTCCAGTTGTCATATAAATGCCATCATTTCTTGAAAAAAACCAAGTCCTTTGAGCTACAGTCTCTCATAGTGTTGTACGTATGGCGTTGCTTAGAATGGCCCTCTCTTCCCTGTGTTCCCTGTCATTGCTAATAGGTGATTAGAGTTGAGCTCAATTTTTTTCTTCGGTAGCACTTCATCAGCAGCGCTGCCTGTCCCCTCAGGGGCCACGAACGGGACTCACTGTCCCTGGTCCTGCCCTGTAGCCCTTGCAACTGATGCCTCTGCTCCCCAGGAGCTGTAGGATGGCCGCCTTCTAACCCGTCGGCCTTTCCGCTCGGCGCCCGGTTCCGAGCACGGAGCTCTCCTTCCCTGGCCCGTTTGAATGGGAGGGAAGGGAAACTTTCTTGATATTTTCCTTTTCTTTATCAGTTTTTAAATCACCCACTGACTGACAAACATCCTCCAACGATAGTCAATGCAATTAGCTGTTTCTTTCGTCAGTGGCCTTTTTAAAAAAAATCATGAACGTAGACACAGCTAATGAGCTTTCGTCTAGAACCACCATTCCCACGGAGGCTCTAAAGGTCCCGTTGCCGGCCAGGGAGAGCCTCTCCGACTGGGGTGTTGAGTCGTATCAACTTTAATACTCTCCTTGGCGTCCGACCTGGTTCTGGTCCCAGACCGGAGCCGGCCAGCGATGGTGGGAATCCTGAGCCCGCCCGCTGGGAGGCAGCTTTGCCGGCGGTGCCGGGACTGCCTGTCCGGTCTTCTATTTTATCACCGCCGCACGGGTGTCAGTGGGCATAGGAAATACATTGTAGGCTGTGTGTTATCGGAACACACAAGTTATATCTGGGGAGAAAATAAAGCAACAATAGAACGTTGTTCCCATTAGCATTGATTACAATTAAAAGGAGATCATCGTAGGGCAATCAAATTTACTGCATTTATTGTGTGTGGTCTTTGTTTCAGGAATTAAAATCTATCCTTCACGGGCATGGAGGCTTTGTGATACCCGTACAATGAAGGATCATTACGCTCTTCAAAACCAGCCAGCATACACAAATCACACTTGTCGATAAGAACCAAATGATCGCAATTGTTAAGAAATCGATAGGACCATGAAATGCCACCGTGTTTTTAAAGTGTTTATCATAGATGAGATCTTCGAAAGGGCTTTCTAAAAGATACATGATTGTCCAGCAAAAATTGGCCCCACATGAAGTCATCTGATATATGAAGCTCAGAGTAAATGACTGGCATTTTCTCTTCTTTTTGGAAGAGCAAGAAAATTATGTGTTGCCCTGCTCTCTGTTTCTGTTACAGTGTGAGGAAACAGCCTAAAACGAGAAGTAATCACTTTTGCTGCTAACAATCGAGAGACTTATTTCCAGCTCTTCAATACTTTCCGCTCTGAAGAATCAGCCAAGCGCCCAGATCGAAGAGCCTGGTGGCGCTGCGGGCGCAGCCTGGAGGCGCGGCTGGCACGGCAGCGGCGGGTGACATGTTCCGCAGGAAGTCTCTCTTCTTAAGAACCTCACGTTGGGTGCTTCTTAAGAGTTCCCACGGAGTGTGGCTTTTTGGTGTCCTTTTGACTCATTCACACCAGACGGCTACTGTTGCGTTGGCCGTCGTCACTTTCCTGTTGGACAGTCTAAGTGAAAAGAGGTCCAAGCCCCTGACTAAATAGTCAGGCATGGCGTGTTTTAAAAATTCTGGTGGCACAGGGTAGAAGGTTGCTGGTCTGATACAGCTGTCACAAAATCTATGAAACAAGATTTCGAGGATCTGCGGGGGAGGAGGAATCCCCATCACGATCCATTGCAATGCAAAATTCTTGATTTGTCTTCGATTTCAAAATTGCAACGGCACGTTCTTATTGAAAGAAAGGTCAAGCAGGCAAACATTAGCTATGACAGAGGCAATTTAACGATACAGCCAATTGGACGAACGGGCCCTTAGAATACCAGGAGAAGGCGTAGCTAAAGGAGCAAAGAGATATTTGGCCAATTAATGGCTAAAGAGTTGAGGAAGATGTAAATTTGCAGATACAAGGTGCTCAGCAAACATCAGACAAGACAAACACAAAGCCGCCCAGTCTAAAGGCATCGGAGTCAAGCTGTTGGAAACCAAACACAACACATAAACCTTAAGAGCAGCACAAGGGAAATGTGTGGAAAAAACACGCAAGGAAACAACAACCAAGTAAACGGCCAATTTTCCATCAGAAACCGTGGCGGCCAGAAGAGAGTAGAACAAAACTCCAAAATGCTACAAGAAAAGAAAAAAAGAACCTGTCAGCCTAGAAATCTCTGTTACGAGATAATGCCCTTCAAGGGTGAGGGTTAATTGAAGACATTGGCAGAGAAAACCAATGTAAAGGGATCGGTTACCAGTAGATCCATACGACCTGGAATCCTGAGGAGAGCCCTTCGTGACGTAGGGGAGTGAAATCCAGTGGAAACTCAGACCGTGACCAACAATACAGAGCATCGGAGTGGTAAATAGCGGGCGGGTACATGCAAGAGCCATTTTTGGCATTTTCTTCTTAATTTCTTTATAAGCCCTCTTTTGGTATCATCAATAATTCCAACGTCGTCCTGTGGAATATATACACTCTGTTGACATGATACACGCCATTAGAATTCTCATGGGACCGGACGTGGCCCTGCCGCCTTGACAGACGACCATATGCCATGAGAAGCAGCACACGGTTAACTCTTCGTAGACCGGCTGACGGGGGCGGGGGGGTGTGTGTTAGTATCCCTCGGACAAGCACCAGGAATAAATGCAAGAAATACAGCTAAAACAAGGAAATTAAAATTCTACGAATATTCAACGACAAAATGAAAGCCAGGAAACAAAAAAGGGGGAAAGATGTTGAGGAGACAAGTAGAAAACAAGCCTTAAAAAGGAAAAAGGACGGACCAAATCCAGCTATATCCATATTTTGTTACATGTGCATATGGTGCATGTCCCAGGACAGACCATACTATGGGCCACAAAAATGCCGTAATGAGTGATAAAAGACTAAAACGATGTACAGGGTCATCTTTGATCCCATGACTTTAAATTAAAAATCTATAAAAATAAGAAGGCCAGAGTAACTCTACATATTTGGAAATTAAACACATTTCTAAATAATTATTGGGCCAGGCAGACATTACAGGGAAAATTAGAAATAACTCGAACTGAATGGTAACGTAATTCAGCCTCTCAAAGTCTGTGATATGTAGCTCATACCATCTGTAGAGGGAAATTTTGAGGCTTCACAGTTTTATTAAAAAAGATGGAAAGTAGAACCGAAGATCTAAGCTTCCACCTCAACCAGCCGGACACACGAGAGAAAACGAAAGCCCCCGCCAGCGGGAGTAAGGAGTAAAAAGGAGAATGTGATTCCATCACGTAGACTAAAGGCAGACAGGAAAGAATGATGCCATTAGAGTGAATCCAGTCCGCACCCAGCGCTTCCCGTTGCTGTGGGAAATGGCTTCACTGCCCAGCGGGCGCAGCGCGGCCGCCCTCGCCCAGAAAGCTGTCCTTTCGCCCCGTCTCGCCGACAATCCCGTCTGCAGAACGGTCCCCTCGGCCTGGCAGCGTGTGCACCTGCAGGCGCACCCGCCTATGAGCCTACGCCGCCCCTCTGCGTGCGTACGAGTCTGCGTGCCTCTTTTATTCGTTTTCTGGGAGTGACTGGTGACTCAAAGTGTCACCAGTCACTCAAGATACAGGGTAGCCATTCAAAGATCTTGGAGGATCAGCCAGTGCCTGCGGGAGCGACAGAGAAACTTGGGGGACCGAGGGAAACAACCTCCCAGGCTCTGGGTGTCGGCCCAGAGCTCCGGGTGTTAGAAATCGGTGTGGCCCCGGCCGGCCCCGCTGGCTGGAGCACACCTCGTGCACCGAAAGGTGGCGTGTTCAGTTCCCGGTCGGGGCGCGGAGAGGGTGTGGCTTTGCGTAGAGGAGGCAGCTGATCGATGCTTTTCGCTCTGGCGTGGATGGTTGCCTCTCTCTCTCTCTCTCTCTCTCTCTCTTTCTCTCTTTCTCCCCCCTCCTCCCCCTCTTCCGGTCTCTCTCAAAGCAATAAACATGTCCTCAGGTGAGGATTAACAAAAAAGAAAAAGAAATTGGCCCGTTGAGCTCCAGTTATCTTTCATCCCTTAAGGTAGCGGGCGCCTTAATCGGCCGTGTCCACTCTGCGTATCCCACCCACAAAAGATCTGGAACATTCTAAAAATGTTGCGAGAGCACGTTCTGGTGTTTTATGTCAGTGTGTAGAACAGGAATAGGAGATAAGATTCAAAGAAAAGCCGCCCGTGAGGTTATGTTAAGAGGAACTAAATATATTTCCCCACATTGAAAGGACTTTTTGATGAAATGCTGGATATATTTTTTCAGAAGTAGCCCATTCATTTTACTAAGTGTCCGTCAAAGGCTCAGTGAGTTCCTTGATGGCTCATGCTTCTTCTTTAATTTCCTCTCTTGCAGATAAAGAATTCATCTACAGAGAACAGAAGGGAAGCGTGATACTGCGGGATGTTGAAACAAATACGTCTACAGTGCTAATAGAAGGCAAAAAAATTGTAAGTGCCCCCTTTGATGACCGGGATGATTTCTTTGGTCTCCCCTGCAGGAAATGACTTTCAGTTTCAACTTCCCGTACGGCCGCGGAGAAGCCATGGGCTTGGCTCCTCCAGGCTGAGCAACGGCAGATCATGAGAAATCGAAAGCGCGCTAATTTAATAAGATCAAAGCCCAGTTTCAGCCAGGGTGCGGGACGTTTCTCTGAGGTGTTGAACACAAGTGTTGCAGATCGCCGATAATTGAAAGATAAAGTCCCCCGGCTTCCCACGTTTACGGGACAACAGCGGTCACATGTTGCAAACGGTTCAGCAGGATGTGCTCCATCTCATCCTAAAACCCAAACTCGCCTCGCGCTGACCGGGTTGCTCAGTGGGTTAGAGCGTCATCCTGATACATCAAGGTTGCGGGTTCAGTCCCCGGTCAGGGCACATACAAGAAGCAACCAATGAATAGATGGATACGTGGAACCACAAATTCTCTCTCTCTCTCTCTCTCAGTAAAATCAATTTAAAAACCAAAACCACGCGTCTCTGGCTGCAGGGCCACAAGTATCTGTGCAGGTACCGACGGTACTCATGGTAATGACAGTAAGTGATGTTGGCGCCTTAAAACCAGGGCTCAGCCGCGCGAATGCCCCTGCGTGTCGTCGGGGAACACCTGTCCTCCCGAAGATCCAAACGGCATGACGACATGGGGTTTCTGTGCCGTTCACGCTGTTTCTCCAACACGGGACTGAAGCGCTGTACCCAAAATCAATTAATTTTTTCTCACACACTGTTCATCCTCATCCTTAGAAGGTCCACAGCTGCACGTTCAGGGAGGGGAACCCTATCTTGTCCACGGCGGTGGGGAAATTGAGGGAAGAAACTGAGGAAGTTCCAGGTCGGAATGGTCGTAACACGGCTCTGGTATGAATGGGAAACCTAGAAATCCCGGAAGTCTACGGGTGGGGTTCAGAGGGGACCCTGGGTTCACGGATCAGCAGCCTGAGCCCAGCGTGACGGCGGAGCTCCTGGGTGACTGGGCGAGGATCAGGCGGGTCCCCCCAAGCCTCTGTTGCAGAGACAAGAAAGGACGGCTCCCCTGCGGGACCGCCCCGTCCGTGGCCTCGTTCACATGCCGCTCAGCCTTGTTTTTCCTCCTCAAGTGCATTTTACTTGCTGTTTAAGTGCCTTTCGTTTCTTGTTGGGGTGATGGAACCTTTTCCTTTAAAAGTAAAGCTGGTGGTGGGGTTCGGGAGGGAGTGAACCCCGCGCTCCATGTAGACAGCCTGCGGTGCGAGGGGTCCCAGGGAGGCGGCGGCCGGCGCAGCTCCCCGAACCAGAGCTTCTCGGAATTCAACGGGGCTCCGCAGGGCGAGATCGTGGGAGAAGGGACATGCCTGCGTTTTTGCATTAAAAAAAAAAAAAAATCCTCTTCGGTCACGTGGCTGCCCCGCGGAACTCGGATTCCACCCACTTCCAAGCACTGCCATTGCAGAAATGGATTTCTGATAGGAATCGAGAGGGGGAAACCGCCAGGCAGTGGCGGAGGGTAAGTGCGTTTTAATGCCACCGTGTTGTCGATATTTCCTGCGAGGATGTCAGTTTAGCCAAAGCAGCGCCGCGCGCATCCCACTGCACTTAGCCATGAAATACGAGCCAGTGGACTGCCTTCCCCTTCTCAGATCGATAGCTCGTGACACGTCATTTATTTTCACTGAAGTTGTTTGAGCCAAGTAATGAGGCAACTTCAGAAGCTGCATTCGGGCAGCTGAACGGGAAGGACTGCGTCCCGCAGATCAGCTGGCCGGCCCCACGGAGGGCAGTCCCTCTCTTCTTAAAATGTCACTTAGTCACTCGCCTGACAGATGGTTGTGGGGCGCCAAGTGGGCACAGCCCCGTGAGCCCCATTCACAGCCACGCCCAGGTCATCCTTGTCCCGGAGTGGCGTCTGCGCCCTCCTGTTAGACCCCGGCCGAAGGGGAAGGGGAAGGGGAAGGGGGTTCGGGGGCCCGTGTAGATCACAGAGACTCCGGGTTGGGTCCTGCTGAACCACGGAGCCCCCTCGGCCCCCTGCGCAGTTTCTCCCCCCGCCCGGAGCGCACAGTCTCCTGTGGGATCCAGCCAAGGACGTCTGTCTGACGTCTGTCTTCCGTCTGTGATTCCTCAAGCAGGTGCTGAGAAAGAGAAGCCCGGGGCATGAAGGGCTTCTCCTGGGGGATGGGGCCGGGGGAGACCCTGGCCGAGGCCGAAGCGCGGCTCTTCTGCTCTGTCCCCTTGCCTTTCTGAGGACTCGCCAGGTGCCTCTTCTTATTTGACGTCCGGAAGCTTTGAGTCTGTTTGATATACGCAACCTGAAGTGAAGGGAGGTGTGCCCCGAGGCCGCCTGTCCCCGCCGCGTGGGTCCGTCTGTCGTCTGTCGGGCAGCCTGGAACGAGAGGGGAACTCAGAGCGATGCAGTGGAGGCGGGGTTTTAAAACAGCCCGCCCCGCCCGGACCCCTAGCCCCTTCTCCTTCCCCAGCCGCCGAGAACCGAGGCTTCCTCCCAAGGTCACGTTAGCTAGGCCTTTTGCCCTCAGCGTCCTCCTGATGCTCCTCCGCGTCCCACGGGCTTATTGCTGGGCTGGGTCCATGGAAGGGGTACAGACAGACCCAAACCCCGGGCAGGGCAGCTGGGACGCTTTGAAGGGAATCGATGGTCACGGACGGGCGGCTTAGCCCTGGGGTGTACCCTGGGCACTGACCTCCCTTCCTGGGAACTGCCCAGAGCGCGGCGGCGACAGACCCGGGCCAGGCACATAAGCTCCGTGCGCCTCCGCCCCACCCCTCGGAACGCTGGGAGGGCACGGGGCTGCGGGAGCCGGCGGGGTGTGGGCGTCGGCCTTCCACGGCTCCTGCGCGGCAGCCTGGCCAGCCGCGGGCCCACGCAGGGTGAGCGCGGGGCGCTGGGCAGTTCAACGCAGGAGACGCCCACAGCTGCAGGGAGTTTTGGGGCGTTGGTTCGGGCCAAACTCACGATAGCTGCTGGGAAGGAAAACCTCAACGGAATGAGCAAAATACTCCAGAAAGTGGCCGTTGTGCACCGTCTTTTATCCGTTACAGTCAAAGGAGGAGGCAGGAGGGGTTACGTGAGGTCCCCCGGTGGCAGAGGAGGGAGGCGGGAGAGAGCAGAGGGGGACACTTCTGGGATTGGATCAAAAGGAAAGCGATAGACACCTGCTGCTTTTACACAGGTGGGTGCAGGCTCGTTAGCAGGCAGCAGCTGACACGGTAACAGTCACAATGAGGGGTCTGGAAAAACAGAAGTTCCCCTGAGATTCCAAGGGCATGTTACCAGGTCTGTTCTCGTAGAAGCAAAAAGACAACAGCCTTTGCTCAGTCAAGGCAAAAGCTGACCTTTGTTAGGGAAAAATACCGGCCTAGAACATGGCCGCCCACCGTGACCTGCTTCTAGTTAGAAAGCTTTCGTGTCAGCCCCTCCCATGGGGTTGCTTCCGGCCTCAGAGCGTGTGAGGCGGCCACGCGGGCCCCCTCTGAGCTGGGCAGGGTGGCGCGTGGCCTCTTCACCGCAGCAGGCAGACCCTGAGGAGGGCCGCGTCCGTGCACCTCAGGGCACGGCCCCCGGCACCTCCACTTTGGCCCCTTCCCCACAGAAGGTGGGGCGCGCGGCCTCCGGGGCCAGGAGGGGACCATGGCCGGGGCAACCTCCGACCGCTGCACATAAGGGGGAGAAAAATCGGCCTTAAATGAGCTTTCACTTGAATTACATAGTTGATACCCTAGGCATTCCAGGACGTTCTATTTTACTCTCCTTTTTAATAATTTAAATGTCAAACAATGGATTTCATGTTTATGCCCCTGTAAGACTCTTCTGTCCACAAATTAACAAATTAGAGAAAGGTCTTTGTTACATTATGTACCCCGCATTTTCCCAGTGACAGGGAACACTGTCCATCTCTCTCCTGCCCCAACAGGGGTCTTTGGATACTTGGGCGATGGCCGCCTAGGCCCTCAAAAATCTCACTCAACTTTTCTCTGCCGAGTAGGACACTGCCTCCTTCCCCACGCGCGTCTCTCTCTCTCTCTCTCTCTCTCTCTCTCTCTCTCTCTCTCTCTGTTAGCGGCACTGTGGGCTCTCAGTCCTTGACCTTCGCGGGAAAGGTCACACACCACACGGCCAGGTGACCTCAAGAGCATGCCCGTTAAAGCTGGGGACCGTGAAGCCACGGAAGGGCTTCAGGTAGGAGAGACAAGGTCAAAGCAACCAGAGGGGCCCGGCTGGCGGAGCTGCCTTCGACCGCCACAGAGAAAGTCACAAACAGAAGGGAGCCATCTGGGCGGCATGGGCTCAGGAGACACGTTACCGAGGCCACGGGAGGGCCCTTGGAGAAAGCGAGCAAAGAGCCGCGCCTGCGCCTTGGAAAAGAAAGCCAAGAAAGGCGTGGGCGTGCTCTAGAAAGAGCGTGCGCCGGGTCCTTGGCCTTAAGGGTTTTTATCTGTTTTCCAAAGGCAGGACTTTTAGGGGAGGTCCAGGGAGGATCTTACTAGAATAGTCATCAGCTCTCCACATGTGTCCGCTCAGGGCCATGGTCTCTGCTGATTGGTCGGTGCCAGGCAGAGGGTCATTCGTCTTGGCAGCTGGTCCTGACACAGCCACGGCGGCCCTTTGTCCTGCTTTTCGGGGTCTGCAGCTGAAACACAACTGAGGCCTGGATGTCGCCTCTCACTTGACCAAAACTCTGTCTCTGGGGTCAGCAGACCTGAGGGTTTGTCCCTGAGATTCTGTGACGGGGGTCAGAGCCTCGTCGTCCTGAAGTTTTCCTGCTTCGGGGAGCGGACGTGCAAGGGAGAAGGGGCAGGTGGGTGGGGGTGCTGGGTGGCGCTCCCTGGAGCCAGTCGCCTGCCTCCGTGTCCCCGTTCCACCGGCCAGGGAATTGTCCCCATTTCTTGCTACGCTGTCTCGTTTCCCGTAGAAGCGCATTTGAAACAGCTTCCTACGTCCTCCCGAGCGTCCTGAT